TAAGCTAATGCTGCCGGGCTAAAGCTGCCGGGCTAAAGCTGCCGGGCTAAAGCTGCCGGGCTAATGCTGCCGGGCTAATGCTGCTAAGCTAATGCTGCCGGGCTAAAGCTGCCGGGCTAATGCTGCTAAGCTAATGCTGCCGGGCTAAAGCTGCCGGGCTAATGCTGCTGAATGCCAGTTGTTTTGGTGCTTTCTGCTGCGTTATTATAATACAGTAGATCCATGTTCTGCTGGCGTCAGAGCCTGCGCTAGCTTTAGCCAATCAGTGCCGGGTTTATCCTCAAGTCCCACCAGGGCCCAACGGAGTACCTAGCATGGAGGGGGTGCGTACCGATGTTCCCCGGGTCCGATGTTCCCCGGGTCCGATGTTCCCCCACTTCTATAGGCGGGGGAACATCGGACCCGGGGAACATCGGTACTTCGCGTATTAAAAAGTCCCGATGTTCCCCGGGTCCGATGTTCCCCCACTTCTATAGGCGGGGGAACATCGGACCCGGGGAACATCGGTACTTCGCGTATTAAAAAGTCCCGATGTTCCCCGGGTCCGATGTTCCCCCGCCAATAGAAGTGGGGGAACATCGGGACTTCAACAACGAGACTAGTCCCGCTGTTCCCCGCGTGCGCGCTTTGATGTTTGATGTTTCCTCCTCCACGAAAGATGGCATATGATCCGTGCCAACTTTTGTGAGAGAAAAAATACTAACTAGCCTAGGCCTATTTACTTTTCTTTTTCCCTCTCGCTCTTTGTGTGCTCATATTTCAGCTGATCGCAGTTTGAGTCTATGCAGGATATTTTTGGGCATGTTATGGGCATGTTATCTCCCCTTGCTCACTCTCCCATGGGCATCTATATTTGACAAGTCTGACTGAATAAAATGAGGACGATTGAAACTAGAGCTACTACATCTGTTAGCCTATAGTTTTTCCAAATACGTGGTTTTGCTGAGGGCACTGTGCTTTTACGCATAATGGACACGCATATGACGTCGTTTTTGTTGTAAAACTTGAATATGCTCTTTTAGTTTTAGAGATATTAATACATATTATTCTATTCAGAATGCGTGCGTCATTGTGCATTGTTGTCCCGCCTTACGTGTCACTCACAGTTAAAATGTAAATAACCAATTCAAACATAGCATTTTTACAACTTGAGCTTTAAGAAAAAAATGATCAAAGGAATCAGTGTAAAATAAGATCGGAAAAGCTCAATTCATGATTGTTTAATTAGGTTTCCCATTTTTAAATACAATTGGAAACGCTCAGAATTCAAAAATATTGAAAAGTGTATTGGCTCCTACAGTGGGGGGAATAATAATAATAATATAACCCCCTGAGCGTCATCACGTTCCTACGTTGCTTCAAATATAGTCCTGTTTATTGGCTGAACAATTTTGTCCAATATCATATTACACAGCGTGAAGCGAGAACAACCAGCTATTCCTCGTCTTAAAGATTGACAACGCTCTTAAAGCATTCACAACAGAGCAGCCTTTTTCATTTTAATTTTAAGAAAGTTCAGCGTGAACTTTGTGAGGTAGAGGAGCCAGAGGCCCGGGCCCGTAGGTCCCAGAGGAGGAGAGCGCGGTCAGGCCAGGCTCGCCTCGCACTGATGAGGTAAACTCTAGGCCTGTGTGAGACACACTGTGGGCCTCACTGTAGGCCTCACTGTGGGCCTCACTGTGGGCCTCATGTATGAAACCTGCGTACGGCCAAATCAGGGTAAATGAGGCGTACGCAAAATATTACACTTTTCCGCATTTATCAATCTGGACGTGAGCGTACAATACGCAAAAAATAAACGCCAGGTCTGGAGGTGGTGTAAATCTATACGCTGAACTCAACCTTCGGCACAACACGCCAAAACATACGCATGAAATTCAAGATATGTACAACAATAAACATATTCCCTCTGGCAAAATTATATGCTGTGTTTTCATTGAGGATCATGTTTCAAAATTTGAATTTGCGCATCAAAAAAAGTCTAATGGAAACACGCAAACTTCGAATAAATCACAGCTCATGATGAGGACCCTCTATTAAATCTGACTTGTGTGTGTATTATTTTGATCTGTATGTTTTTAAAATGTGAAGCGCTTTGTGATCCTGGACAGTCAAAGGCTCTATATAAATACACATACGCAACAGGGATGTGTGACCCATCTATTGCTGTGGCAGGCTCTGCGCTGCGTAATTACGCACGGCTATTTGTATTCCTCATTCACATCTGGTAAAGCAATGTGTTATTTCATTAGATTTGTGTAAGCCTCACACAGACACACACCCCAATAACGCATCGATGGTATTGCTCACTCAAACGTCTCACTGCCCTGTCCAGAGTGCGCAGCGAGTGCCGTGAGAGGTCGCGCCACATGTGCAGAAGTTTTGGCTCCAGAGTTTCTTTGTGAAATCTGGACCGCAAACGCTCTCTGAAGTGTACAGCGCCTCAATGCGCACTTCTACCCCGAGCCAGGCTGCGTCCAAGACGCTGCAGACGCTTCATTCAGAGCCACCGCTGCATAATATATATGAATTAATTAATTCATTCAATCAATCTATATTTATTCACTTCTACAATTCAAGAAGGATTTTTCTAATGTATCAAAACATTTTGGCAAATTGCGTAAATGGAATATACACCCAAAATGTACATCTTTTTCAACGCAAGTTTCATAAATGAGCTTGTGTGTATGTGCGCGCGTGAGTGCGTGTGCGTGCGTGTGTCCGTTTGAACCATATTCTTTGAAACCCCAATTCCAGTTAGCCCTTGTAGTTTTCAAGCGAATTTGGCCTACTTACTAATCTGCAGGCCTACCCAAAATTGCAAACCTGGCGCCAATACTGTTGCGAGGATGAACGGAGGGAGATATGTTTCCAAAAAGAAAAGGTGGTGGAGCTAATTTTACTTTTCTTATCTGCAACACGTTCTTATTCTGAGGTGGTAGGTTGTAAAAATGTAGTTGGCTACCAATGCGAGATCTACAAGGCTTATAATATAAAGTATTCAGTAGCCCTATGAGCGAAAGCCGCTTGTTGCTCCATTATCCGCGCGCAGCAATAACATGTCTATGAGCGAGGCCCGCAGTCGGGGAACACCGGGCCCTCCGGCGTTTGGAAGGTCCGATGTTCCCCGGGTCCGGTGTTCCCCGCCCCGGGGAACTCCGGACCCGGGGAACTCCGGACCCGGGGAACATCGGGCCGACCCCGCATGGAGGAGGGACTCCATTGGGCCCTGTAAAAGTTCCTGTAAATGGCCCTGTGGGGGAAGTTCCTGCAGTGGATACACCAACGGGGCTGGCCTGGAAAATTACCCTGAAGCTCCTGTGGTGGAAACGTGGCTCATGTAATTTATAGTTCTACGGAGGCTTTGAAGGACATAATGTGGTCTTTGACAGTGGTCCCCAACTTCCGCTCAAACTACTTTTTGTCCCTTATCAACCACTGTATTCCAAGATGGCGAATTGACACAGAGAGTCCTCCGCCTCATGGACATTTATACGTCAAATTCTAAGTCTATGACAACATTTCAAAAACATTGTGAAGGTAAATATTCTTTAATTGTAGAAGAAAAGCCACTAGGCAGTATAACATTTGTGTAACCGTAATAGGCTTGTCAACATCTGGATTTTATTATAGCAATTACATTTGGTAAGAGTTTTTAACCGCTCCAATGTGGGGGTTGTGGCTGAAGAGTAGCTCTGGCAGGATCCTCAAGGCAGCTCCCAAAAACAGCCGTAATCTGAGGCCAAATCTATAAATCATCTGGCTGAACATTACATAAAGGCTTTATTCCAGTCATTCTTAAATTACTTTCTGTACAGATTGAAATAAAGACGTCTGTTAAAATCATATTTACTTAAAGTGGACGAAGCTAACTTAAAAACTATGTAAAAAGATGTAAAATTCAAAAGTTTATTTGCCATTTGCAGTAAAACCACATTGGAAAAAATGTAGAACAGCCACAGAGACCAGACAGAGAGAGAGATCAGAGAGAGAGAGATCAGAGAGAGACCAGAGAGAAACCAGACAGAGAGAGATCAGAGAGAGACCAGAGAGAGACAAGAGAGAGACCAGAGAGAGACCAGAGAGAGACCAGAGAGAGAGACCAGAGAGAGACCAGAGAGAAACCAGAGAGAGAGACAAGAGAGAGACCAGAGAGAGACCAGAGAGAGACCAGAGAGAGAGACCAGAGAGAAACCAGAGAGAGACCAGAGAGAGACTAGAGAGAGACCAGAGAGAGACCAGAGAGAGACCAGAGAGAGAGACCAGAGAGAGACCAGAGAGAGAGACCAGAGAGAGACCAGAGAGAGACCAGAGAGAGACCAGAGAGAGACCAGAGAGGGAGACAAGAGAGAGACCAGAGAGAGACAAGAGAGAGACCAGAGAGAGACAAGAGAGAGACCAGAGAGAGAGACCAGAGAGAGACAAGAGAGAGACCAGAGAGAGACTAGAGAGAGACAAGAGAGAGACCAGAGAGAGACTAGAGAGAGGCAAGAGAGAGACCAGAGAGAGACCAGAGAGAGACCAGAGAGAGACTAGAGAGAGACTAGAGAGAGACAAGAGAGAGACTAGAGAGAGACTAGAGAGAGAGCAGAGAAAGACTAGCGAGAGAGAGAGACCAGAGAGAGACTAGAGAGAGAGACCAGAGAGAGACAAGAGAGAGACAAGAGAGAGACCAGAGAGAGACCAGAGAGAGACCAGAGAGAGACTAGAGAGAGAGACCAGAGAGAGAGACAAGAGAGAGATAAGAGAGAGACCAGAGAGAGACCAGAGAGAGAGACCAGAGAGAGAGACCAGAGAGAGACCAGAGAGAGAGACCAGAGAGACCAGAGAGAGACCAGAGAGAGAGACCAGAGAGAGACCAGAGAAAAACTAGCGAGAGACCAGAGAGAGAGACCAGAGAGAGACCAGAGAGAGACCAGAGAGAGACCAGAGAGAGACCAGAGAGAGACCAGAGAGAGACCAGAGAGAGACAAGAGAGACCAGAGACACCAGAGAAAGACTAGCGAGAGAGCCATTTGGTAAACGCCTAAAATCTAGCCGTTAAACTAATTATGTTTGTTATTAGTGTCCTACATCTTAGAAAATCCCCAAAATTTAAAAAATACATTACTTTCATCAAGGAGTGAATGTTAAAGGGTTAAACTCAAAACGCCTATTGGGGCAAAGCACCTGTGTTATTATTTATTACTTTACAAAGCTGCCGATTTGCCAACACAGATCAGAGAAACAACACAGGACATGCCATGATTAAAAACACATAGAAACAATGGTTCATAAGGAGCAAGACCAATGTCCATGAACCTATAGAACAGGCCTGCCTCTTCCTCCTCCTCCCTCCAGGGCCTGCCTCTTCCTCCTCCTCCCTCCAGGGCCTGCCTCTTCCTCCTCCTCCCTCCAGGGCCTGCCTCTTCCTCCTCCCCCCTCCAGGGCCTGCCTCTTCCTCCTCCCCCCTCCAGGGCCTGCCTCTTCCTCCTCCCCCCAGGCCTACCCTCACCCTTCCTCCTCTCACCGGCCTCCTCACTCCCAGTCCTCCTCTGAGTCTCCTCCTCCCTCCCTCAGACCTCCTCTCACTCTCTTCCTCTTCCCTAAGCCACCTCTAACTCTCTCCCTCTTCTTCTCCCCAGGCCTCCTCTCACGCTCTTCCTCTCTCTCCCAGGCCTCCTCTAACTCTCCTCTCCCCCAGGCCTCCTCTAACTCCCCTCTCCCCAAGGCCTTCTCTCACCGTCTTCCTCTCCTCCAGGCCTCCTCTGATCCTCTCCTCTCTCCCCCAGGCCTCCTCTGACTCTCCTCTCTCCCTCAAATCTCTCTCTCTCAGGCCTCCTCTCACCCTCTCCTCTCTCTCTCAGGCCTCCTCTCACCCTCTCCTCTCTTCCTCAGGCCTCCTCTCACCCTCTCCTCTCTCCCTCAGACCTCCTCTCACCCTTGGGGAACCACAAACAATCATTTCACACAACCCCCAAAGTTCCTAAACACATTTTGAGAGTATTTGTTTGTCAGCGTTGGGCAGAGAGACACATCCATCTCTGAGGCACTTCGTAGGTGGATCTGTCCTCGGAGTCATCGTAGGGAATATGCCATGAACCAGCCGACGTCTGGACAATAGTGTCGTAGCTGGGAATGCTCTGGAATAAAACAGAAGGTAGGTTTGTCCTCATGCTTCACCTTCCTCCTCCCTCCTTCCTCCTCCCTCCTCCCCCACGTGCCTTACCTGAAAACAGACTCTCCTTCCTGCCCCTATGTAGCCACTGAGCACCAGCTGATGCCCTCTCTGCCACTTAAAGAAGAGGCGTTTGGTGGCTCTGTCCGGGAGGCAGGCTTTGTGATCCCTCATCAGATCTCTGCTCACAAAGCGACAGTGATTCCCAGAATGCAGTGCGGCGTACAGCAGAAAAGGGTCATCCTCAGAGCTGTGAGAAAGACAGTTTCTTTAGACTTAATTAAGTATTTTCACAATGTGCTGCGACTGTATTTAATCAAGCTAAAGTCATTCATGGAGTTCACTCTATGATAGTGATTACTTTCGGTTCTTACATGTTCTGGATCTTACATGTTCTGGATCTTATATGTTCTGGATCTTATATGTTCTGGATCTTATATGTTCTGGATATTACATGTTCTGGTTCTTACATGTTCTCGGTGAAGAAACAGTGAGCTTTCTGCTGGAGGGAGATCATGTTGTTTTTGTCCCAGGTTCTGGACGGACGCAGCATGTGTTTTCTCCCCAAGACCAGAACCGTCTGACCCTGAAGAACCAGCTCCGATACCACGGCCAGGAGCTACAACACGACCACATGACATTAGCCATACATGCACAACAATAATAATAATAATAATAATAATACATGGAAAAGGCTAATGCACACTCTCTCTAGTCTCTCTCTCTGGTCTCTCTCTGGTCTCTCTCTCTGGTCTCTCTCTCTGGGGTCTCTCTCTCTGGTCTCTCTCTCTGGGCTCTCTCTCTGGGCTCTCTCTCTGGGCTCTCTCTCTGGGCTCTCTCTCTGGTCTCTCTCTGGTCTCTCTCTCTGGTCTTTCTCTCTGGTCTCTCTCTCTGGTCTCTCTCTCTGGTCTCTCTCTCTGGTCTCTCTCGCTGGTCTCTCTCTCTGGTCTCTCTCTCTGGTCTCTCTCGCTGGTCTCTCTCTCTGGTCTCTCTCTGGTCTCTCTCTCTGGTCTTTCTCTCTGGTCTTTCTCTCTGGTCTCTCTCTCTGGTCTCGCTCTCTGGTCTCGCTCTCTGGTCTCGCTCTCTGGTCTCGCTCTCTGGTCTCGCTCTCTGGTCTCGCTCTCTGGTCTCGCTCTCTGGTCTCGCTCTCTGGTCTCGCTCTCTGGTCTCGCTCTCTGGTCTCGCTCTCTGGTCTCGCTCTCTGGTCTCGCTCTCTGGTCTCGCTCTCTGGTCTCGCTCTCTGGTCTCGCTCTCTGGTCTCGCTCTCTGGTCTCGCTCTCTGGTCTCGCTCTCTGGTCTCGCTCTCTGGTCTCGCTCTCTGGTCTCGCTCTCTGGTCTCGCTC